GCAAATTATTTTGCTGCTCAACTTTTGGAGGAAAGAGTAGGAAAATAACAATGTTTATATGTTTTAATTAATCTTGGTAGCTTTTTGTTTACACAATAAATGTGTGACTGCTTCGATTTGTTTGGATTAGGCGTGGAAATATTGATCTCATAAAAAAAGGAGATCGAGAATCATTATGAATCACGATTTTAAATTACCACTACAACCTTAGCCGGATTTTATCCAGAGATAAACAGATGGATGACATGTATTGAACACAAGTTATCATTGACATCGATACAATTGCTGTAAAATCATAATTAAATGTTTGTGCTTTTTATATTTACATGGATATCACACAGATTTATTTGGCTTATTTCATAAAGATAAATATTATTTCAAAGTTATATAAAATTAATATGCTAGGGGTTATTTTATGAGTGTAGAGCATATTATACAGTGTTTGCCCAATTTAGACAATTTCTGTGTCACTTACTTCTGAGCTTACTCTGTGTTGAAATGAAATAATATTTTATTTCCCATTAACTATTTAAAGATAAGTACATTGTATTTTTTTCCTTTACTTAAATATGATACAGCAAAATATTACTAACTAGATAACAAAACAAAAATTATTTACTGTAGAAATAAGTGAATAAAAGTGTAAAAAAAATACATTCTATAAGAAAGGAAAAAGTCTACATAGGCAGGGCCTGTGCGTAAACTCGAGTTGCGAAAAGATTAATTTAAATGGGAAGTAAAAAATATAGGAGAAAAAAAAATCTTATAATTTAAACTTTTTTTTGTCTTGCTTGAAGCTGAATTTTTAGTGTTCTGGAATAAATTGACGATAAAAAAAAACTCTTTGTGCAAACAGAGGTAATTTATAAAAATCTAGTGAAGATTGAAGAGGAGAGGTGGAGTGTGGTGTATTAGTCAGTCAGTGAAAGTGGTGTATCAGTGATTGTGTAGGGTCAACGGTCAGGTCCGCCCAACGCGATAACAGCCTCGGTATCCTCTGAACTCAGTCCTACAAGCCACCCTACAACATGCTTCTTAAATAGAGAGAGAGAGGGTGAATTTAGAATGTTGACATTTTGATATCAGTTACACATGTTACGATGTAAATGATTTGGGTTAAGTGAAAGCAATTCGTATTTGAAAATGATTTGAAAGCTTGTGGAACACTTACACCATTTCGAGAAAAGCGTGTATTGTGGGGATGAGTAATTTTTACAAAAATATTATCAAAGTTTTTGTACATGTGAACTAAAATAAATTTAAAAAATAACTGCCTGACTGTCAAAACTCCCGATTCTACAAAAAGATTGTCAGTTGAATATCTAAAGTGTTTTTTAAAAGCAACTTTAAGTTTTCTGCACTACAAAAACAGGTTGCAAGATAGTTTTGTAAGCACCACCAAAAGCAATAATTCCAAAAGACAACAATGATTGAACATATGCATAGTATGCTATTTTAATTTCTTGCTCTTCGAGAATATCACTAAGTTGCCTAAATGCATAAATATATTTACGTAATTTATTATTTAGGTATTCAACATGATCCGACCATTTCATCTTTGAATCAAAAACAATACCAAGATATTTGTATGAATCAACTTTTTCAATTTTGCTACAGAAACAAGAGTTACTGAAAAGATTTCCACAGACATGAATAGTTAGGTTATCAAGTTTGTATTCGGTTATCTTGCGTAATGAAATTGGCATAAATTTTGTTTTAGATATATTAAGGGACAATACATTTTGGTCAAGCCATTTTTTTAGTAAACAGAGGTCTGATTGTGCCTTGTTTTTAACCTCCTCCCAGGATGCTCCGGTTACAAATATTAGTATATCATCAGCAAATAATGTTAATTTTCCTTCTGTTTTAATTTTAGAAATATTATTAATATAAATGAGGAATAAAACAGGACCAAGGGTCGAACCCTGGACCACACCATACTCCACTGGCAAAACATCGCTTGACACTTCACCAAGTGCGACAGTTTGTAGCCAATTAGAGAGGTAGCTGCTGAACCAAGCGAGCGAGGGTTGTTTATGAGCCCAACAGATTTATCATACTCGTATAACATTTATTTGTGAATTTCTTATGTAAGCTCCTTTAAAATGCATAACTTTTAGTGGTTTGCTGCTGTTATACACAATCTGTTACAATTAAATAAACACTAGTAGTATTTCACTTTCTCTTTTTTGTCTGAGCACATTTTGGTGTTTAATTTCCTTAGACCGTTTTGTTTAATCAGTATTTAGTTTCAGTAATCAGCTTAAATTACAATTTCAATGTGTGGTGAAAATCAATTAATTAGTTGTATTGATACAGTATAAAATGTTCTCAATTTTCATTGAATATTCTATTACAATAGTTACTCGTGTAACTAGTGGGCCAAGTGGCAAAAGCAGTTAGCACTCGTGTTATACATTATGTTTCCTACGGTTACTATAAATAAAGCATGTAATAGTATATTACGTTACTAGTCCTGAAAATAAGTGTTTACCGGACGAGTGTGGTTGTTCCCGTGCAAGACAAAGTCGAGTACGGGATTACCATACGAGTCCGGTACACACATTTTGGACGAGTTACGTACGATAGTTTACGCCATACTACTAAATCTGTACAAATCCTTATATATTTCCACCAACTAAAGGACTAAAAATCACTAAGACCAACTAAGTAGAGGTTATTTTTTGAGAGGATAGCAGGCTTACCTGAATGGGAAAGAGTCCAAACTGGCACAGGAAACACAAAACAAAACTTTACACTATATACACAAAACATTAGAATATTTCACTGTCACTGACAGCATTTTCAACTAAGGAAGAGGAAGAGATAGTTTTCTAGATGTCCAAAATGGTGGCCAGTGAGTTGTTGAGTCAGTGTTGCCAATAGTATGAATTCAAAAAACACAGTTTCAGTTTATCTTTTATGCACTATATATATATATGAATAAATATGTAAGCCTGCTAGTTGGGTTGGATATTGAAGTGGAGTGGGTTAGATTAAAGGTATTATCTCAGGTTTAGGTTTGGGGGTTGTCTAGACTTAGTAAACCATTGATAAGACAATTCCCATCTTCTCAGTTGTGACTGGTTACATTGAGGGGGCAGTGATTTGACTATTTTGGTTGTAAAGCAGTCATTGAAACTAGGGTTGTTGTGGCTCTGGGCATGTTGTACAACTGGTTTGTCTTTGTATCCAGTAGATACATCTTGTCTATGGCCATTCATCCTGGTTCTGAGGCTATTGGTGGATAGGCCTACATACTGTGCCTCACATTTGTTACATTGTAGTTGGTAGATAATGTTCTTTGTTTCACAAGTGTTGAAGCCTCGGATGTTGTAGTTTTCTTTGGTTGTGGAACTGGAAAATGTTTGGCTACTCACGAGCCGTAGGCGAGTGAGGAATGGTTTCTCGAGTGAGGCAATTGTACTTTGAACTCGAGTTGCACATTATACTTTTCCTACAGTTACCATAAAACAAATAAATTTGTGAAGAAACATAACCTATTTTTAAACAGAAGTGAACTTTTAATATAACATTTATTTAATGTGAAGTGACAAGTACAACAGTACAACAGCTGACCAGCTGATTTACAGCCAGTGCTGCCAACATATTTCGCACGCATACGGACGTTGCCTGCATGTTACGCGCTCACTATTTCGTGCCTTCACGTTGCAAATCTGGAGTGAGACAAAGTAATTAGAGTGAGACAATGTTAACATTGTCTCACTGATGAGCGAATTGGCCACTTTGCTTTCTCAAATCAGTGAGAGAACATGTACATTGTTAGGTAACTGTAGGAAACAGTTATTTGTGCAACTAGTGAGCAATTGCACTTTGCACTCGAGTTGCACATTATATTTTTCCTACAGTTACCATAAAACAAATAAATTGTAAAATAAATTGGTATTTTATTTTATTTACGATATCCATATCATACTGGTTTAAGATATAGACCTCTCAAAATTGTGATAATATTCTTAAATTAAAAAAAAAAAAAAATGTTTGTTTAAATTTTTGAAAACAAATAAATTGGTAAAGAAACGTAACATCAGGACGTGATTGAGCCATGCGAATGAGATCATCTTGAAAATTAAGAAGTTAAACGGGGCAAAGCCCGCGGGTTACAGCTAGTATTGTATAATTGCGTGTTTATTTCATTCTTAAACATTGTAAATTGTGTATTGTTCCTGTAAAAACTATTAAGATATATAATGTACATCCCAGTTTGCGAAAATAGTTTGTTTCGCAAGTTAACACACAATTAAAACAATATTCAAGGGAGTATAGGCTTTCAGGAAACTGTTAATATTTACAAAAAAAATCATACGTGATTAAGTGTTGCGTGAACGTATTTTATTTTATTTACGATATCCATATCATACTGGTTTAAGATATAGACCTCTCAAAATTGTGATGATATTCTTAATTTTTTTAATTGTCACTCATTGGGGTTTTAATATAAAATTTTTAAACTGTCACCAAAAACCACATTTTGGGGCCCCGCAAAATTGTTATACTGACCAAAAAGTGTACTTGTTACATTTTAAGGTTTGCAGGTTTAGTTTTCCCAGTGTAACCGGTTCAAAGGTTAACAGGGTGCATTCATACTTTTGCCAAACCCTGTAGTTTTGCCCATGGTGTGGTGTTACCTTTACAGTAGGCGTTCCTGGAATAGGCAAGATCTTCCACATGTAGTCCAAGGCTAGGTGCACACTTGGCGACATGGCCACCAATGTTAAATTAAATGATGAGAGCTACACTAGATGACTAGGTCGTCTTCACTCATTAAGAAATGTGGCTACCTTTTGCAACCAGGTCGCCTAAAGTGACCTTAGCCTACTAAGGCTAATGATTTATATAGTTATTAACGTGTCTTTTTTAATGAATTTGGGTAGTTAACAGAACATTATACCTTCAAGATACTAGGAAGGGAATGGGTAGATTCTGAATAATAAATTGAGCCAGTGAGCAATCAAGTTAAGGATATAGAGTACAAATAGTTATATACATATTTTTTATATTTTCTCTTTTAAGAATCGTATATATACCCCTTAAATGTAGTTTACCTTAGTTTAAAGTCCGTCATATTATTTACCTATCGTTTTTACAGGTATCACAAGCTGTCTTTCTTTAGACATTAAAAAAATTCAACTTATGCTCACTAACATTCCTCGAGTCACATTAACTTGTATAATAGATATAACTTTATTTAACTTGCTATTTTTTTTTACACTTTTAAAAATTATTTTAAATCAGTCAACAAAAAGAAAGTATCAACATGAATAGATATAATAATAATATGTTACATAATAAACATTCTAAAAATCCTTGTAAACTTCAGTACTGTAGTCCATTTTACCGAATGAAAATAAGCACTCAAATTTATAATTTGATAAATAATATTGGTTTCACAAAGAGTAGATGTTTCCTTCAAGGAATAATAATCCACAATATCAAAAACATCAACGAAAATAAATATTCAGTACAAATTGTCTATTCACAATTATCTTGAGATACTAAAATTCTTCACTTTACAAAATTATGCCAATACGGGCTTTGAGTTAGCAAATAACAATTAATTTATTCATATAAGTCTATACAATTTATAGTTCATCTGTAAACTGAATAAAGAAAATATATACACATAACACTATCGCACTTTCACTTCCATAAACACTTGGAAATAGAGTTAGTTCATTAACTATATCGCTTCGACAAGTAATAACGCCACTTGTTTGTTAGTCTATGTTTAGGGTCGCTGACCAGGATTCATTTGGTACAAAGATTACGATTTTCCGACTAAATATCTTCAAATCTCAAGGATCTGATCTGAAACCAAAACATCAGTTAGTGACAATAAATGGATAAATGCACAACACTTCACCATTTTAGAAGAAAATAACGGATACTATTTTACATCATCGTTGTACTTCATTTGTATCAGCCAGCAATGTTCCAAATATTTAAGTGAGGCAAAGGAGTAGTTATGGGTCAAAGCCAAATAACAAACAAGATTTGATTTAATTAGTTTGGTTTCAGAATACAATTAAAATCTCAACATTTGTTACACTAGCGGTCTGTCTGTGCTACCTACCACAAAGCATGCATATGTTTAGGGTAGTTTACGAAGTGATACTGAGTGAGAATGTTCAAGGGAAAACTGTAGATTAGAGAATTTTTTTTCAAATCTTTTTGCAAGGGACAAAACAAAACATAAAAGAGAAACATTAAGTTACAACTACTATAATTATTGCGACAACGCACTTTATGGTAAAGTATAGTAAAGACGTGGTGCAACTGCTACTTTTTTAAGAGTGTAAAGTTCACTGTTTCACAACGACCAATCTCATGACGTCCAGAGCTTGTAGAAAGATTATGTTTATTGCAGTTACTGTACTTATGGACATGGCGAGATTGAGATTTGGATGTCGTGAGTCAGCTCAAGAATTATATTTTGGATATTGTGACACTGACTTGCGTCGTAACACTTGGAATTCGTGCAATGTATCCATTATTGACGGGTTTACTGAAAAGTATAATAGAATCGCTAACCTACCGGTTTGTGAATCAAGAGTTTTCATCTTCAGATTCATTATCTTCCAACGCATTAAAGAAAGACGCTAAGCTTAATACAGAAACTCCTTTGTTTTCCAGCTTTTCTGACTCATCATCTCTCCATTTCAGGAAGGATTCACTACTAATTAGGTTGTGTTCCAGGAACAAATTGAAGATGTGCAATAACAGTCCTGAAACAGAAACAGAGTTGTCTAAATATATAAGTTGACTTACGATTTTTAAAGTCAGTTTAATAACAACTAATATAGTTGAAAAGAGCCATTGACAGAGTGTGCTGGGATCATTTAATGGTGTCTGTCAGAAAACACCAAATGGTGGTAAACCTAGCTTCTTTATCTCAATACCCTACTATTGATACAACTTGACATTCCATCCCATGTTATAAGTTGTTGACAGTTTTAAAATCACTATCACCGTAGCTGATGTGGACCACTTTTGCGAGATTGTGCTGATGTAACAACTTGTTTCTGTTGAATACACCAACTTTTTCAACAAGTCAAAATTACTTATTGTAAGCTATGTCAACTGTTATGACACATCAAATATGTTAAGAATCAATATAAGGTAGTAAAAAAAAATTTTAGAAGCTACCGTAGCGCATTCAGAGTCTGGCTCACACCAGATTTTTTCATAAAAAATTGGCAACAGCTGGTCCATAAAGATGGAATGTCTACTTCAGTATCCAATTTCCTAAGTTATCATAGTTACAAAAAACTATGGGAGAAAATATTAATTTATGCTGTAGCACATCCTGCGAGTGAGTGGCTCTTTAAGCCATAACTGTGACGAGTCTAGCGCTTTCCAGGGGCGCATAACGAGTTTACGCTGTTTATAAACTATTGTTCCAATGTGAGGTTAGCCACTGCCATGAGATATTATTTCGCTTGCCGCTTATTGTGCCAGTGTTAACCTTCAATCTGGTATAATTTGTTTTCTGATCGGACTATTTCATTGGTGGTAGGGACGGTTACAAATTTTTTTTAGTGTGGGGTTTAGGCTCAGATCTAATGACATGCAATAGAATATTGTTAAAGAATGTCCTGTAGCAATGTGGAAGGAACCTAACATCAAAATTGTGTTTGTCTGCTTTTTGCGGATATTTTTGATGGTGTATCCGGGTAATTCACCCCTGCTTTTTCACTCCATTTGACAATACTGAGGGCCGGCTAGCAGTATTGTTTAGTGCTGCTATCTGTTGGGTTCTTGTAAAACTCAGCCCACAACGACTGGGGTACAGTATATGCATCTCATTTGGATGAAACTAAATTTAAACGTTTTTGCTCGTCCACACAGCGTATTAATGTTTGCCCCGTGCCGGCAGCGGTCGGCGCAGCCGCATTGAATGTGTTAATGAAAAATAAGCTACTTCGGGTATAATTCAGTTACCTCCGGGATGATCCAGCTTGTTGCTCAGTATCTGCACGGAGCTGAGACAGGCCAACTCACGGTCCTCTCTGTTATCCACATACCTCTGGATCAGCTTCTTGTACTCCTTGAACCTTGCCTGGTCCACACTGAAAGTTGAACCTAGGACAAAAACACTCACATTACTTTATGCATAGATTTTCCCTGCGATGCACACGAGCTGAGAAATAAGGTTTTCAAGAAACATGCTCGCCTATTAATATATAGATAAGATTGAAAAAATTGGTCATTTAGATTTGAAAAAGATATGTAAATAAGGGTAAATCATGTATGTGAAAATGTTATTTGAAAACTTAGTAAGTTTTCGGCTATACATATCGGCCTACACAAGATTTAAAAAGCCACAAACGTTTCTATAAGGCCATAAACATTGAATTTTGTTTTTAAAAATGTTGGCGGATGTGTAAACTATTTCATACAAAAGATATAAACATTTTATGAAGATTTGCGAACAAAGTATTCCCTGACTAGAATCGATACCATTAAGATCTGATAAAAATTATATAGAGGGAGGTTTGAGTAAATTTGAAATGGAATCACAGAAGATAGTTTATTCGTAAATACCACACTAAGTTACTGTACTATGTTGTTGAAACTTACCTATACAAGCTGTACAAATTGCAGTTATCAAGGCACGGATAAATTGAAGACTTTCGACTTTGTCTCCAACATTACTCTGGAAAAACAGAATCCTCTTTAATTAATACAGTAGGCTATGTCTATCTATACATTTTAGCAAATATCAGTTCTATTTCCTCAAACAATTAAGTTTCACATTGGTAAAGTAAGATAAAAATTAGTTCTATCAATATATTTTAACACGTTTGCTGCTTTAACCCTGCCACGTGGAGGGCTGTGATCGCCATTCTGTTGCTTAGTGCGAGCCTAGCATCAGCCGAAGGCGGACCTATACCACGTTAGCGTGTAGTGTGTAACTTGCTTTTTGTTGTTGTGTAGGTTGGTAGTAAATTTCCCCGTAAAATCCCCGTCTGGAAAGCTTAGAAATTAACTTGTCCTTTACCCACCTATTGCCAAAACAATGGGACCGGCTACGTTCCAAGCAGTGCTGCTATCTGTGGTTGTTGTAGCAAACTACGTCGAATCTCATCGTGACGCAGTACATCACCTCACGTTATTAGTTATTTGTCAGACCAAAATTTGAAAGCCAATCGCCCGGCAATTGGGTCTGTTCGACGCAGCACCGTACTGGGGGCTACACCTGCCTTTGATGGGCCGCAGCAAACGTGTTAAAGAAAAAAATAATCTATTGTTGATCTAGATTCTAAGAGGATATATCAATCAAGTCAAAACATTTCCAGCATTGTTTTTCGGTTCAATTTGGGGGATAATGTTGGGAAATAGGAAAACAACCTCAAAACAGTTTAGTATGAGAAAGCTGTTATCAAGCCTATACTACATGACCAACAACATGAAGTTTGTAAGATAACAAACTTTGTTATTGAATAAAAAAAAGGGAAAACCAGGACTTTAGTTAGTGAGTTGAGGAGTCATGAGAAATCATGGTAAGTAAATATTTACCTTAGCAGTATAAATTATTTATTGAATTCAATCCAGGAGATTGGTTAAGTAACTTAATCATACTAAAGGTAGTTTAATTGGTAATGCAATTGATTACTATAGTTCGGCCGCTTAGAAAACGACCTGCGCGCTAATGCTAAACCAATGCTGGAGGAGGTCGCTTTCTAAGCGGCCGAACTATAGACCCTGAATGTCCCAAATAAGAAAAACTAAAAAAGTTGGTCTATTTTGTCTTAAAATGTCCTATGCAAACAATTTCAATTCATAACACAAACTAAATAGTGTCAAGACCATAGGTGGTAAGTACAAGATTATAAGTTTTCTAGTCAACACTCACAGAGATAATTTGGAATATGTTGTCACAGGAGGTGTTTGACTGCATGAGTCGAGTGATCTTCTCCTGCACCTGGTCCATAGGCATTTGACTGCTGGGCTCATACTGGGGCGGCTCCCCCGTCAGGTACTCTAGTGACTGCGGATAACACAAACATGCAGATAACAAAACTGTCAAATTGTCAGCAATCAAACGGATTCATCAGATACTAAGGAATACTTGCAAAGGAATTTTCCCTTATGTCAATACTAGCCATAGTAATAATGGTAATAGTTTAATTAAAATAAACACAGAGGATACGCGTCCGGTAACCAGACGTGGATTAGGCGTCCGGTAATGACGTCACCGGGTTGTGGGGTCCCGGAACGCCATTACCACAACGATACGATATTCGACCAGCGTTGTTCGTGGTGTAGTGGATAGAGTGCTCGGCTGATAACCAAGAGGTCCTTGGTTCGAAACCTACCGGTTTCTTTAACTTTTTGTCCCAGATTTTGCTTTGAATGTAATTCCTTCTTAACTGTACATCTTTTGTTAGAATTTTTGGCATTTGTAATTTTATGTTATCAAGAGAATTGAGCCTTCATTTGAATTTTTTCATTATCAGCAAGTTTGGTTGGTTAGGTTAGGTTATGACAGTAACTGCCGGACGCCTAATCCAGGTCCGGTTACCGGACGCGTATCCTCTGCGTAAAATAAACCAATTTTATTATTGAAACCTGTTATATTTGCAATCCTTATTTTGGCTTAGGTAGAGTGATGCATGGTTTATATATAATTTTCTGAGTTCAACACCAAAACTATTAGCTTATAAGGGAAATTTGCTAATATTTTGCAGAAACCATCGTAATAGGCCACATAATGTCCACAGTTGGCAACTCTGAATATCACTTTAGTTTGGAGCTTTTACTATCACAGTTGTAATTACTGTCATAGTTGTAGATCTCATTTCTATACTTATCAAGTTTAAATAACAACAATAATCTCATTATTAATCAAGATAAGTTAAATACTTACATTTTCTTTAATGAAGGCATCTACATTTAAATCGGCAGGTATAAAGTCTTTGAGGCTCACATTTGACGAGTCCCAAACTTTTCTAACAAAACCTGGTTTCTGTAACACAACATAATTTGTTAGGATTTACATTTTATTGATCTACTAGAAAGACAAAATTTGAGTTAAATAACAAATGACATACAATAGGTACATCAGACTTCCGCGATAATCAAATCCAAACTACAGTGCAACTAAAATTATCCGAACATCAACTATCTGAGTCGCTTACCAAAAGAATTTAAAAACCTTCAAACCACCGTAATAAGAATCGTTGCTAGAGAAGGATTAAGTAGTAATTGGGGCTAAATCCAAAAATCTGACTTGCTGTCTGGTAGACATCATCGTCTCACACGGAAGCATTGTCATAATTTTTTTGCGATCACAACAAAATCTTGCACATCTTTTTACACCCCCCCCCCCCATTTAACTAGGCTGGTTTTCATCAATGTCCAGACACTTTAACAAACCTACATTTGTAATATGGTTCCACCATTAAATAACATTACCTTTTCCTCGGCCAGCAGTTTCAAGATGGGAACGAGCAGCTTGACGGCTGGCCTTGTATTTAATACTGGACTACAAGCAGCCTTGATGTGGCTGAAATTGATTTTCTCCGCAGCAAGAATTGGAACTGGAAACAATAAAAACACAATGTAGTTTCTTGTTTTCACATACCTTGAAGGCATACTAACATAATATAGGCTATGTAAGAAAATAAATGAATAATTGAATAATTTTCAATATTCAATTATTCAGACAAAATATTAAAACAAAATAACTGGTGTGCAATATAATGCATATTTAAAGACACAAAATAGCCTATGTAAAACACAGTGATTGCATTTTTCCATTATTTTGTTTAAACTACACCTTGTTGAGTTCAACAACTTATGGAATAGTAATTTTTCATTAATATAACACTAAAAACCCACCTATAACCTGTGCTTGCAGTTCCCATATCTTGGGAACATCAATTGCTATTTCTTCACTGGCCTCGTAAATCAAGTTAAGCCTGGAAAATTCAAATACATATAATGCAAAACAAGAACTGTAAACTGATAAAGCTATCTGCTTTTATGATGCAATACTCATAATGTAATTTATTTTCATTAGTTGTCAATCCACTACTTTCATCAAAAATGATAATCATCGAATTGCATCAAAGATGACAGTATATATATAATTATATATTTATTCTTAGTGCGGGAAAACAAAGTAGGCCTACTTAAAACATACCAATTCAAAGATGATTTCGTTTTAAATGTGACCCTGATGTAGAATTATTTTAGTAGTCAGGCATAATGTTCCATTTCAAACAAAAATCTTTTGAAATAAAAAAAATATTTTTTTAAGATAAATTAATAATCATCAATCTTTGCTTATGATGCAGTTCTCATAATATAATTTATTTTCATTATTTGTCAATCCACTACTTTCATCAAAAATTATAATCACTGAATTGCATCATGGTTGAAGATATTTGATTTAATTTACCTACTTTGTGTGCTGTAATGCTTGATGGCCATTGAAGCACTGAAAGTACATTTACAACAATGGTGTCAGTTAATATTAGGCTTATGTATTGAGTTGTATTTTTTTTAGTTATGAGGAGTTTGTGTGAACAAATTTGCTTAAAACAACATTATTAAACATATCAGTAATAGCTTTTAACTTATGGCAATCTGTAGGATGCAATTCTCATTATATAATTTACTTTCATTATTTGTCAATCCACTACTTTCATCAAAAATGATAATCACTGAATTGCATCAAGGTTGAAGATATTTGATTTATTTTTCGTACTTTGTGAGATGTATTTTTTCATTGTTATAAAGCATATCAGTAAGCTTTAAACTTATGGCAATCTGTAGGAAGCAATTCTCATAATACAATTTATTTGCATTAGCTTTCAATCCACTACTTTCATTGAAAATCATAACCATTGAATTGCATAGTTAAAAGACATTTTACTGGAAATTTTATTTCCTGTTTAGAATTAGTATGTTAGAACCTATGTAACTGGAATCACTAAAACATCATTCAGCCTTCTACAATCTCCTAGAACGGCATAATTTTGTACAAGAAGTTATTCATTATTACTCTAACATGAAACCAACAAAACAGCAAGGCTTTACATAAAGACAAACTGGGTTAAGGTGATTACTATCGGAAGATAGTTGACCCAAAATATAAATAAGTTTCAATGGAGAAAAAGATAGAGCAGTAGCTTCTGGAGAGTATCAACTTTTTGAAGAGAGTACTTTATACTTTATTCTGAAATGGCGATCATACAAATGTAGGTATTTCAAGCCAAATACGAATGGAGATGAGTGGCTCGATCTTGTAGTCATGTTAGTGTCTAAGGCCGACATGTTCCTTAGACACAGCTGTTAATTAATAGCCCATACAGTATTGGGCAACTAAGGGACCTACAGTTTATAGTGGAATCCGAACTACATTTTTGCCTTGTAATTAAGAAACATAAGCTGTATATAGGGCCTAGCAAGCATAGAGTAAGACAAAGTAATGTCAACAGTACATTTAAAAAACAATTACGATTGCTTTGATTCTTCCTCTAATCTTGGCCGCTTTGTTGAACAAAGAAAGGATGAAACTTACTGATCAACAAAGACTTCAGGTGTGAAGACACCGTAGTCCATGAGGGCAGTGAAAAGTTCTCCGATCCTTTTTTGAGCTCCGGCCTTCTTCTCAAGTGCGAGTTCCAGCCCTCTACTAATAAAGCTGCCAATCTTGTTGTCATGGAATATAGACTCCACATCCACTTTAACATCCTGCATACAATATAAATAGTAATTGAAACATCTTGCAAAGATAGCTAAGCATCATTATTTAAAAAAATTAAAGAGGCCAACTATATTGAAAATAAATAAGAGATGTTGTCCTAATTAGTGATGTGGGCCGGGTAAATACCCAGTGGGTAGGTAAATATAAATTGGGTATTTACCCGGGAATTTACCCCAGGCCCGGGTAAATACCCAAAAACTGGGTATTTATAATTTGTATTAAAGTTAGAGAAGATTTAGATGTTTTTTTGCAATTATCACCCTGTAAGGATAGTAAAATGATGATAAAATGTGTTAATTAAAATTTCATATGGTCACTACTATCATTTTACTTCTGGGTACAATCGCCATAAATACCCAGGTCTGAGCATAAAGCATAATCAGCATAAATACCCTGGTCGCATGGTTGCACTGGTCCTGACTACTTATGATTTTTGATTTCTATGATGGATAGATGAATTTATTTTATTGAAAGTGAAGAAAAATAATTTGCAAAGTAATAATTATCTATTACTTATTTAATACGCAAGGAGATTTTTTGTGACAATTACTCCTCCCAAACTACTGAACCAATTGTCATGTTTTTGGTGTCATTGGAAAGAGAGTTACGTGAACTTTTGCAGGAAACTTTCTTTTTAGGGAAATACTGAGAGAGTGAGGCCCTGAAGCCCTTTAAAGTTTTTAAAACATTGGAAACAAAAATTTTTATGAAACTCCAGCTGTTGTCAGAAATCAAAAGTGAGAAGAAGAGCATGTTAATTATAAACAGTTAATAAGTTTGCTAATTTAACAGTACTGTACCTACATACATTTGCTGACTTGGTTGAAATTCGTTTTAAAATAACGCCTGTAATATTGCCAGCAATTGCTCGAATTCGAGCAACACGAGCAACAGGGACACTAGTTAATTATAAAAATTTAACCTAGTAGTGGCCTAGGCGTGTAAACAACTTAAGAAAATAATGCAAATTCAATCTGTAGGATGGCAGGATTTAATAATATTTTTGTTCTAGATCTTTTGTTGGTAGCCTATCAATGGTATCAAAATAAAAAAAAAACTAATTTCATAAACTTGTGATACAAAACATTTAAATCTATAGCACAATAAATCTTTCAAAACTATATTAAGTTAGACCAAAAAAGAGGAGATAAATTTTTTTAGTAGGTTTATCCAAATATATTATTTTTTCCAACTAAGCGGTAACACAGAAAAGTTTAATTACTTTTAGTATTCTGCCATTCTGCCTTAGGTCTGTCTAGCCTTCCAAGCCATTTATACGATAAAATTTTTTAACCATCATAATTTAATAACAGTAGAAGTAGGTTTAGGTTCATTATTTCTCTGATGAGGTGTTGTCTTGATAAAAAATGAAACCCCATTCTTATTTAGTTTTATTAAAAAAAGTGTTAAATCATTAAATAAAAGGTACTAGCAAAGCTTCAAGTTACTGTAAAAGGTGTTATAGACTATCCTAATTTTTCATGTAATGATAACAATAACATATTTAGGGGTGAATATAAATTAATTTCAATTGATTTCATAAATACCCAAAATACCCGGGTATTTATGGATTTTGGGTATTTACCCGGGTAAATACCCAGGGTATTTACCCTGAGTTTTAAATACCCGGGTATTTTACATCACTAGTCCTAATATATGACTTTTTCAAAGAATATATATTGAATAAAAATTGTCATATTAAATTAGGACGAAATATCAGTTATTTTTGTGTTCTTTTAACCCTTGGACTCATTTTTTTAGGTAAGCTAGCTAAACTGTCTCCTTTCAAACAAGTCTTAATATTGTCCTTAGTTTCAAAGGTTAACTTGTAAATTAAAATCTAGTTTAGCCTACTATCTACATCATATGAATGGTAAAAATATTGTAAATCTACTAGGCAGTTTTCATAGAAATTGCATTTTCATTATGTAATCAATCCACTACTTTCATCAAATCATCAAACTGCGTTTTCATTTAGGTTAACCACTTAGCAACATTTTTATTCCCTGGTTGACAAAGCCATTAGCTCTAAATATTATGTGTGTCACCACTGTTTGTGAGAATAAAAACAATATCGCTAACTGATAGCGTAAATGAAAGATTAATCACCTCAACAGAGGAGAGGTTGCCCAGGTATTCGTCAAAGATGGTCTGCGTTTGCCTTTCGAGCCGCTCCTCGTCAACCTTGTCATCACGTTTGTCTCGTCGCTCTGACTCCTTGTTGTCAGGTTGCCGGGGTACTGAGCTCTCGCGCGAGGCTGGCTGAGACGACAACGGTGTCTGCCTCTCTCGCTGCATGCTGCTGCCTCTCGAGTTGCGGCCGTCCCCTTTCACATTTAAAATGTTTTACGATTTCCATTTAAAATAATTCATTTGTTTGCAGTTTTATTGCAGTGTAGAACTCCAATAACCCTGATCCATTGGGATAAAACCACATACAAGATTGAAAAATAAAAAATTATGAAAGGAAAAGGTAGTTAAGGCAGTAATGACGACTCAACATTTAACTCAATTGCTATTGGCACACATTAAAATCAAAAACTCTGATAACCCTAAGTTTTCAAGCAAATGTCATTCATTTGTTCTCCTTGAGATGAATATTGGAGATCTCCTATAGGTATTGGTTTAATTTAATTCCTACTAAATCTTATCTTCAAGGAATTCAATTTTTCTTGATTTTTCTTCTTCTGGTTTTATTAATTTGTGATTCAATCTTACCTTCAAGGCCTTGCATCATCCTCTGTCGTTCTCTGTCTTTTTCTATTGAAGGAGTGGGTGTCATCCTTCTGTTGCTGAAAAAGATATTCATTAGTTTTACTCTTTATAACAAAAGTTATTGTATATATACATTTTTCTTAATTTTTTCCTCTGAAATAAATACTTTATAGGCTAAAATGTAACTTAAGAAACACGATGCAAATTAACACCATTTAGCTGAGTACATCAATGGCTCAGTCAGTCTTTGTATCATAATGTGACTAACTAAAACATGATTCTCTGACTGAGATATAAAACAGGGATATAAAAAATAAACTGTAAAACATAAAAATTATACAGTTCTCCATAAGAATAACATGGGAATTTTTAATTTAAAGTTTTTTTTTTCTATTTTCTCCGTAACCGTTAGGCGCATAATAACGCTTCAATATACTAAAATTATTTGTTTTTTTTAAGCTCTACAAAATGGTTTGGAAAGAAAATGCTAAATTTTATGTTTTTAGGGTCAAAAATAGGAAAAACCAATTTTTGCCTCATAAAACCCCCCATAAACCCCTGTTCCCATAGTCCGATCATGTTGGTTTGCGAACTTGTTCGAATAAATGTAGGTTTACACGTTTGTACCAAATTTCATCAAAATCGGGCAATTTTTGCTTGAGTTATCGCGCTAACGGACACATATATAAATTTGAACGGATAGTGTTTTGGTCTCTAGGGACCTCAAAACGAAAAAGTAAATCGGTTCTGGGTCCAGGTCTTACCATGAGTACTACGGTAATAGCTTATTCCCTATATGGGAAATTCGCTAAAAATTAAACAATAACATTAGTATTAATTAGATAATGTACAAGTTTAAATAATATTATTTGCCTTATTGTTTGACTGATTTACTTACTTCATGCTGGGTTGAGGAGGTTGTTTCTTCTCTTGTTGAAGGGCAGAGTAGACATTGGTTGTGGTGAATACTGGAGCAGACTTGTTCTCCATGCTCTTTGATGTAGTCTGGAAGATGAACTGTGATCTTCCACCCAAGCTGAGCGAGTTCAGGTCAGCCATCTCGTTCTAAACATTACAATTTTTTTATCCTACGGTCACACTGCTATTCAACCGTGCAAGAATGTTTCCATCCTGAGGTGTCAATGGAATCACTAATACTAAAACATTTCAAACAACACGAAAAACTTAGCGTGAAATTTTCATTATTTTACTGTGCCTGTGCTCAAGTAGGTATCAGCTGAATTTTTATTATAGGTTTCTGTTGAATGAGATTCTAGTCTTTAAATACTGAAGGAGTTGAATTTATAGCATAACAAGACTCTGACGAGATATCAAAAGGTTAAATGGTCATTACATACCTTGACCATGTTTTGCATCTTGGAAGCCTCAAACGCCGGACCCTTGGAATGGAATCTCGAGGAGGGAGCCACACTGACCCATCCGTCATTGTCACTTTGGTTGTTGCCTCCACCTAAAAAAGTTAATTATAGCATACAATGTATTCTATATTTACCTTTGACTAAATGGGACTATCATGTTTGTATAGTACTTAACAATACAATTTGGCAAATCTGATTTCAAATGGACAGTTCTTTATCAAAACAATCTGCTTAAGCTGTTTTTGTGCTCATTTTTGCGTGAACAAAAAGCTGAGGTCGATTTAAACTAAAACAGATGGTTTTGACAGAGACCAGGTTATTTTAACCGCAGACATAAGGTCAGACAATTCAGACAATCCAGATAAGCTCATCAATAAGTTCTTTATCAATGATTCGGTTCCATGTAACCAGATTAAAGAAAATAAAACATAAACTAACCTTAAAATATTCAAAGACATCTGTGTTGCCTTAACAAATGATTTACAATGGTAAATCCTTAGTATGAAGAATCTGAACAAACTGTACAACAAATTTGTATATTGTACAAAGGTTTTATCCATCTGTTTAATAAGTCTACATCTGTTTGTTAAGTGTGGGTTCATTGACTTACGGTTGTTCCGCTTCCTGTCGTCCCCTCGGTCCTGTCGGTTCATCCTAGGAGGCGGATGTTGTTGCAAAGCTATCGACATCTCCATGCTCTCTCTTTCAGCCTCTTTGGTGATCTGTTCTATAGTCTTAGGATTGTTGTCCTCTCTCCTCGGCACCCACTTGCTCTGTCGCAGCTCGATCACATCTTGCAGCATGAACCTCACTCTCGACGATACTTTCGAACCTTCCCTTTTTTGGGCTAACTCTGCCATCCTTTGGAAGTATGGATTTAAAACCTGAATGTAAAGAATTAAAGAAATTTAATTTACAGGGTACTTGTTAATTGTAAGTAATATTTATCAATGTTTTTAGTCATCTTTGAAGAAAGATATTACTTTAACTGAATTAAATTATAGTTAACGTTATCTTTGACTATTGATACAACTAGATATTCCATCGCCAAGTCAAAGTTGTCGCCAGTTTTTTAAATCAAAATCTTTTTATCTCATGTGACCCGCTGACAAATTTTGCTGATCTAAATTACCAATTTCTGTCAAATACACAATGTTTTTCACCAATTCAAACTGATGGAACAATTTATAGCAACTGTTATGGCCCATCAACTATGTCAACAACAAAAAAAAGGCAGACAATGGAATTTTAGACACTAGCGCTTTGTGTTGGCCCACACAACTACGCTCTTTTTTATCAAAAGATTGGGGACCAGCTTATGAATTTGTTATTAGCTTGCTCTTCCAATCGGAATCTAAATAAAAATTAAAAATTGAGAACAGAAAGATTAACACAAGTTTGTGAAATCTACAAACTAACAAAATTACTCTAACAATTATGGCTCTTATTTCAAATTGATGAATATAATTGTTACAGTTCATAATGATGACACACTATTCTACAAACAACACTTTTTAACAAAACATATTTCTGCATAATTTTCCTGAAACTGTTCCGATTGCTTGATATATGTGATATGGAAATTTAAAAGAGACCCCTTGTCGGCGATGCAAAACCAACCTTAATAATAGATTAAGGTTGAAAACATTGAAATCGGGGTTTTATCAATAGTAGTTACCTATATCTTATTTAACAGAGAACAGGACAGTATCATTTAAAATATTGAAAATAAAATAAATCATTTTGTTAGCCTCTCTACAGCACAAGGTACCTCTTGTCGCTACATGTTATTTCACCGTAACGACAAGAGGTCCGATTATATTAACTTTATAAACAGTGTCCAAAAAAGGAATTTCCTGCATTCTAGCGGATATATAGAGAACTACAACAAAGTTCAGTTTAAGGAGAACAAAATATCTTACAAATTTTGCGGTCCCGACAAGAGGTCCCTTTCCTCAAATGTGATTTGTGACGTACTTCGAAAAAACAATTATTTCATGAAAATAACTGTGAGTTCAGAAAAAATTGGTATTACCTTCAAAGAATCTCCATCAATGGCTAGGTTTTTTATTTTTCTGTCATGTGTGAGGTACAATAAAAAAAATAAATAAAATAATAGATGCATGGGGACTTACACCAAGTGATTTGGAATTTAATAAGGAATTCAAATATGTACATAACTCAAAATTGATAATTCCCGACAAGAGGTCCCTTTTAACTTTCCACCATCTTATAAGTTTAACAAAGAAAATAAACATGGAATAAAATCACCTGAAGACACACTTACCCCAGGGGGAGGCTGTTTTTGGTTTTGCTGACCATATTCCAGGTCTTTACCAATTGTAGTTAATAATTTACACAGGCACTCTAGTGACTCCTCATCAGGAGTGCTAAGTAAATGTTCTATACACCTATACATGATTGCCGGGGTCAACATTCCCAGCTTAAATAATTCACCTATAAACCTGTGAACAGAAAATAAACATAATGAACATAAAATTATATAAACAAACAATACATATTCACGTAAAATCCTAGTTCTCGTCTACACTTAGTAGCGTGAAAGAAGATTGTAAAGATTATGTGTAATTGTAATGTATGAAGCAGGCCAAGAGAATTTACTAGTAAGAAAAATTCAAGGTAATGCTTCAATTTAATATAGCACTTAAGGAAGGATTCATTTCAATAATGAAAAACCCTGCTTTCAGTGCATCTAACAATCTGAGATCCTATAAAAGTAAATTACTGTACAACTTTTAATTTGGAAATCATTACATTCAGAACACACTTTGCCGACCTTTCCAGGAGATTAGTAATCTAAATGTAATGTTGTCTAATTGACCATGTAAAGCTGTAGTTCACAAGTTTGGTGCGGTTTATGATTTTTGGCGCAGGATTATTTCCACCAAAGACATCCAAGAATCCAATAATGCTCTTTGACAAATGTTTGCAGAATAATCAAATCTCAGTAGGACATTTAAGTAAAAACTTAAAATGTTCATGGCAATTGAAAGATTAATATCAGACGAAATCAATCAACAGCAATTGCTCCAAATTACTTTAGCACTTCGAGTTAGAGGGTGATCTTATCAAAATTCAGAAAACCCCAGCAATAAAGTGCATTGACATAAAACCAGTGAAGTTACTCACAAACCATTAATAAATTACCTAATATTTCCTACAGACTTCTTTCGCAAAGTCCTTTCTTTTTCTTCATACTGTAACTGCAATTCCTTTTTCTGTTCCTGAAAAACAACAATGAAGCTCGTTAAAGTCGATGGAATAAACTAGTGTATGAGCAACATTGAGTTCAAGAGGCCTAATACGGTTTACAGAGATTCACAGAGTAAACATGCACTAATTTTTGGTGTATAAAACTCACTCTACACTATTCTTGATCCAATGAAATCAAAACATAATACTTACAGGATCAGTACAGTTGTTGATTTCTTTTAACCATTTGGCTGCATCAAGTTCTGACGACTTGTTTCTTTCAAATTCAGTCTGGCACCTTGTAATGAGAAGTTTGCGGAAGTTTACTTTCTGCTCAGCGCCGTTTTCCACTTTGGAAACTTCTATTCTTGAGCACACTTTACACATATTGGCATATGCCTTGGAAAAATTTGGTTCATCCACAGCCTGAAAAATAATCACATATTACAACAAGGTACAACAATTAATAGTTAAATATCAAAATTAAATATGAATACAAACTATTTTTAATAGATTGTTTTGTAGATTGTTTTTATTGAATGTTATTTTTTTGTGGACATGCAGATTAGTCTGTCTCCCATTGCAGGTGCAGGTAAAATATTGGTTAAAAGATCAGTGTTATGAATAGTCATGGTTTCAAAAAGCTACTGGATGTAGCTAAGGATGAACATCTACTGTTATATTTGTAGTCACACAAGGATTCGTCACTCCCAGGGATAGTCCCAGGACTCTAAGGCAAACCTAAAGTAAAAGCAGAGGGTCCAAAAATTGACCCCTGGGGCACTCCATATCGCAGTGTGTGATGTTGAGTTATGATTTGTCTGTTTATTTTATTTGATGTTGTATGATATAATCATCTTCAACAAACCTATTTTGAATATACGATTCAAATCATTGAGTTCTTTTACAAATTCCAAATTTAATTAAAACTTAACAAAATAAAATTTACAGTGAGACAAACTGTAAATGTTGGTTTAAAAACATATTTCTTAATACTTTATTAGATAGTATAATTTAAGTAGACTTTTTTCAAATTACCAACCTACCTTTTCAAAAATTAGGCCAATTACTCCTTTAAGCCTCTCCTCAGAGTTTATTGGAAGAATCATGAACTTCTTCATGAGGGTATCAAACTTCTGTGGAGTCAGCTTGTTGAGGATACCTCGCACATCCTTGTAGAGTTTCTGAAAATACAACACAAATTGGTTAACAGACTATTGGTCATCAACATTCTCTAAACATACTAAAAGACAACGATGAAATGTGTGAGCATTTAGACTTAGGCCAATTCAGCTAGTCAAAATGCTCCTGTAACATAAATAGACAGATATAGTCGTTGAACAAATAAAAAAAAAATAAGAATAAAATAAACGGTATCAGCATTCTGACACATACTTTCTCCCATAAGTTTGTCAACAACCTTTATCATGTGTAAGCGGTGAGAGTAAATATACGGAAATGGGATTTGCACAATTTTCTTCAGAATTTAAAGGAATATAACATACTAAATTGTTATCAAAATCGTTCGGGCCAATTTTGGGGAAATCTGATTTTCCGTTATTTTATGGGGTTTTTATTTCTAAAAAGTGAAAAAAACTATCAAAATTGTAAGGACCATAACATACTATGTTAAATCAAAACCGGATCTTTGTCTAAAACCCTATTTTTCGTTATTTTATGGGGTTTTTATGGGAAAATAACATAATTTACCATAACTTTTGAACCGTAATTTTTACAAAAATGGGATTTGTACCATTTTGTTTAGAATTTAAAGGGCTACAACATACTAAATTTTTATCAAAATCGTTCGGGCCATTTTTGAGAAAATCCGATTTTTCCGGGTTTTTATGGGAAAACCCCCATTAAAAATCAAAATTTCAAAAAAATGAAAAAAACGCCTGGAGATACCATGGATTAGAACCTACATACCAAATTTCATCGAAATCGGACCACAGGTGTAGTCTCTAGCTCTGTACACATCCAGACACACAGACACACAGACACACACACACACACACACACACACACACACACACACACAGACATCACTTCGAAAACCACTTTTTTGGGTCCAGGGGGACCCAAAACGAATATATCCACTCAAAACTCAAACTCAAAAATTTTGACGAAAACAATACTTTCTCCATATACTATGGTATAGGGGGAGAAAGTAAAAAATACCTTATGACAATGAATCACAATCAGTAACGAGGAATTCCATATTTATTTCCACATGAGTTCAGATAGGAAGATTAACATCATATTGTGATTCAACTTAGAGGAAGGAATTATGAAATTTAAACATTCCAATCAAGCTAAAGGCAAGTAATTCAAATATTCATCCAAATAGACATTCCATACCCCATGTTAAAAGTTGTCGTAAGCTTTTAAAGTTTTAAATCAAAATTGTGATAGTTGATGTGAGCCACCGAAAGATTGGGCTGATTGAAATTACTAATATTTGTTCAATACACAAACTTTTTTAACAAATCAAAGTAATAGAAAGACATATTGTGAGTTGTAGCAACTGCTATTATTACTCATCAACAATGTTATAATTATAAACAAAAAAAGGTAGACAATATAATTTCAGACACGAGCACATTCTGTGTCTGGCTCACACAAATATGTTCTTTTTAAATAAACAAATGGCCATAGCTGGAGCTGGTCCATATAGATAAGATGTCTACTTCAGAATCCAATAGCCAATAGTATTACGAAGGATTTGAACTGTTTCACATCTCCAAAGTGCAATGTTTTAACAGATCAATTTTACTTTCTTGTAGTTTTTATGTAGTAATTTTCTATTGGAGTTGATCATTATAAATTTGTAGGCTACAACAAATAATGAATTATTATTTAATTTGTAGACAAGTTAAACCTGGGGATTTAGGCTCTTGTAACAATGTTATTCACAAGTAAAAACTGACAAACATATTCAGTAACGAGGAATTCCATTATAATTCATCACTTGGATCTGGTGGAATAGTTATCATCATAATATGTTCATCAAGTTTTTAACATAAATTGTAAGGTTGTTGATAACCAAACTAACAACATACCTCGGTATCCTTTTGCTCCTCATCTTTCCCAGCATCACTCTCGAGTCGCTGGGGTTTCCAAGCATTCTCTGCAGTCCTGAGTTTAACATCTTCTTGTCGAGAAAGAGACATGTGGATAACTTTGGGGTTTTGATTTTTCCCCCCCTTGCCCTGTTGACTATTTCGTCCCTTGGGCAACGGCTACAAGAACACATCAAACATTTGTAAAGGAAGCTCCAAGTATAAAATGATACAGATAAAATGAAAAGTTAATTTTGGATGTGTTTTGGTCTAATATTAAATATCGAAGAAATACGTCTTAATACAATAGGACCTAAAGATCTAATAAAAATATTGAATTTAGCTAAGTAAAAGTACACAGTTAACTTTTAGCATTTTTACTCCTTGGATCACAAGTTTCTTAACAGAACTAAACACTTTAAGATAACAACTTTTAAGGTGATTTTTATAAGAAATAGTAACACTTTTCAATAACTGTTTTTAATAAACTGTCCTTAAATCGTTAACATTAATCTTGGACAGTCCTCTATATTTACGATAAGAATAATTCATTTGTTAAAAGAACTTTAGGGCAAGCTTTGTAACATATATATGACTTTTTAGAAAATATTTTTATAAAAACGGCTCTCATAACAAAACACCAGAAATCCATACAAAGTTGTTATTCCTAATAAAACAAAATACTCACTCCTCTTTGGCTTTGAGAATTCCTCAAGAATTCAGGCATGAGTCCCCGGAAGTCTGCATTTCTGTTGTTCATGAAATGCATACTCTGGCTGTTTTTGAGCTGTTGGTGAAAAAACCAATTAGAAAAGGGTGGATTACTAAAAAAATTGGAAAAAAATAAGATTCATTACAAGAAAAAATATTGCACACTTGTACAGTTGACATCACTAAAGATCAACAGTACTGTACGGTAATAAATTACTTAAACCCTCCTAGTGTTATGTGTCGTAAAAGCGACTCACAAACACTGTTTACGGCGACGGCTCTGGGACTGACTGAATCGGATTGAACTGGATCGAGTTAGGTATCGTTTTTTTTTCAGCAGATTCAGAGCTTTCTCCTGATGTCTGTTTCTATACGCTTTTCATTTTAGTTCCGAAAATATTGTAGCAGACAGCTGACGTGCGTACTTGTAAACAGCTTGGTTAACCTCGCACTGATAACTTATGTGTTTTAATACGTTTATCATTGTTTTAGTGTTAAAAATCAAAAGTAGTGATATACGTGGTGCATTATAAGAAGATTTAAGTGATTTTGAAGGGCTGGTTGATGATCCTGAAGAAGTAGGTTAGTGATATTGATGTAAATTATCAGCCAGATTCCTAGCTATGGTTAGGCTATGCATTCTTAGCTAAACGCTATGTACCGAAATCTGTTTTTTGCCCATAACTTATTTATTTGCAAACCTACTTCCTTATATTATTATAATTTTGGAATCCTCATAAAATTCTGAACAAAGTGGCTATTTTAAAATATTTGTAGACCTATAAATTATAACAATTTATTGAGCGCAAACATACATTTTTTTAATTTATTTTATAATTTTTGAAAAATGTTAACCCCACAAAAATTGTTGAAAATTTTTTTTGTAATGTTTTATATGTTACATTGAAGCCCATAATTTTCCAAACAAAATGATATATAAAACAGTATACTTTACATTGTTTTTAAGTTTCTAAGATACATTTTAATAAAACCCTGCGATTGCGCAATAAATGGGCGAACATTAAGACCAAGACTAGAGACACTTGGAGGGTTAAAAGCTATAGGTAAATTTAAGTTTTTTTTTTAAATTCCTAGTTTAATGGTCACGATTAAACTAGGAATCAAAAAATCCACTTAAAGCCTAAGGATCCTAGATTTGATTTTACAGGTAACGAACACTTAAAAATAAACATGATAGTAAAAGCGAGAATTTGTTCACGAACAAAAAGTGGTTAAATGTGCTAGATTATCTTCCTCTAATAGCCTTCTTTCGATTTAACACGTTTACTACCACAAGAGTACAAAATATTTTATTCATATGGACCAGCGACACACATATGAGACGGCTGGTTTCTACCCATAGACTGCCGTAGCATATTTGCATTGGTGTTCCAATGTTATCAAAACGCTTATATCTTTGTAATGGTCTATTTTGGGGGCACTGAATTCTCTGCAGTGGTCTAGAGGGATGCCTGACGCACAACTGCATCGCTTTGTCAGTGGATATGATGATTGGTGACACAAAAGGTTATCAACAATATAAAAAAACAAGATTACATTATTTACAAACAAGATTGCAGAGCATTACAAAGTAAATGATCACTGTTTAACAGGTTTTCCCCCGTGGTCTGCGTGTACTGTTAACCAAGTGACAGCCTATGTGTCTATCTATGTGTCTATCGATGTGTGTGGTCTATGTGTAAGATTAAATTTTATACCTTGGTCCGTGGCAATGATCAAGTGAGCGGCGCATGATATATGCGACGCTCGGTAGCCAACGTGTTTAAATAGACTCTAGGTGACATCTCTACAACCCCAAGTAGCATAAATACGTTATTAACCTACTGAAAAAAACCAAGTAAGCCATTCTCAAGTATGATTCTAGCATACATGGTTTTAGTCTTGGAAGGAGATTAACTACTCTTGTATTTTGTTTTTCAATATATTAACTTATACAACAGTCTTTACTGACCAAGCTCGCATCCCGGATGACAGCCACAACATCAGGCAAATTATCAGGCTTCACATTGGACTGAGGCTCTCCCTTCAAGTCCATTAAGAAGTCCCGTTCATATTTCTTTTTGCCATCAGGATTCAGAGGACTCCATTGATCTAAAAAAAAGAAGAATTTAACATCACTGATAATTAGTTAAACCAAGTTTTCATTTTGTTCTCCTGTGATTGTAAAATTGATAGTTTTATTTTTTTAAATCAGTAGACTTTTGATTTTGAAACTGAACCTGTAGTCTTCAGTATACTAGAGTAGTACATTTAATATTTTCGTCAAATAGAAAATCCAGTTTTCCAAACTTATTAGATGTTGTTAGGGCTAGAAAACCTAAAGTAAAAAAAAACTTGCCAAATTAAATGTCTCTTTAAACTATCTAGACAAAACTGAGAACCAACTAATTTACCTCTCGTGTAGCTAAGCCTGAGTGTTAACCGAGGAGGTTTCTTCTCTTCAGTCTTTTCCACATCCTCAATGGTCATGGCTGACACTTTGGCGTTCTCCTCATTCTTAGCGGCTACTAACTTTTCCTGCTTGTCTTCTTTCTCCTCAAGGTCCTCCTGGAAAAGTCCGACCAACAATTACACAATCGGACACAAGCAATAACAATTTACCTTTAACGAGTATATTCATAGAAAACGATAGTTAACTTTAAATCTGACACATTGAAAGGTGGATAACATATTTCTTACATGGGGTAATAGAAACCTAATATGATTTTGCTGCATGCCACCAAAACAATTAACCAGTAAAACGAAATATAAAAAAGGATCTAAAAGAATTACAAGCATAAATACCAACTTACTTTGAAATCAGACTCGTTCAAAGGACCATTTTGAATCAAAGCACAGTTAATGTTAATCCCAACACAGCTCATGTTGATGTGGCTTCAAAAAGCTGATTTCAAGGGGTCGTGAACTGCAAATCTAATCAGGGCGAGTGACTTGACCTTGGGCAAAAGTACACGGGGGCCGGATGATCTCTTCCCATTGGTCTTTTCTGAGCACAGCTTTTTAAACTGGCCCTAGTGATTACTTTAAGATAGTTTTTTATTGAGCTTTCTCTATAATCGTTGAATTGTAGAGGATTAACATGATACTTTTAAATATTAGTAGTAGAAACTCGATAGCAAGCCTCTCATGGGTATTACAAAATAAAACTTGTTATTAAAGTAAGCCTTCTTATTGAGGGTTGCAATAACATGTGACATGATTAAGGGTAATACAAAATACAGTGTATTTAGGGGATTCGAAAATGATACTTATTGTCAAGGGCGACTTGCTTTGTTATTGAGGTTTCACTTATTATTTCTCACTACGTTATGTATGAGAAAGTGTTATCTAGTTTCACAAACTTGTAAAACATGTGCCTCTACAACACAACATGATTAAGCTATAAAAGTAATAGGATCAAGTCAATTAAGAGTGGCAAGTAGAATCCGCGTCCACACCAGAACCTTTCCCTCACGGTTGTTGCTACTGTTATTTCATACAGCCATCTGAACAACTTAATGCTGTTGGATTACCACGACGTCTAGTACTGTCTCCCCCTTCCATCACTACACACCATCCCGGAAACAAACTATACATGTTTCCAATACAATGATGTTACCTTGATCTTATCCTCCAGTGCGGGGACGATGGCAGGCGGAGACGTCGGGGGAGGTGAGGCTGGAGGGGTAGAAGGTCGCTCCTTCTCCTCACTTGTGTCCACGAAGGCGTCCATGTCCGAGCCCTCCTTGTCAACCCCCTTGAGGTTCAACTTCTGGTCCCTCATCTTCTTGTTGCCTTTGGGCTTCTGTCTGGCAGCTTTGCTACCTGTTACAAGCAAACAATTGCTTAAAATGAGAAGAAACATTTAGAATATGGTAGGAAAGTTGAATTTCTCAGGCACTAGTAGAAAATCCCTGCAAAACAAAGGGTTACGTAACATAGGCTAAACACAAACATTTCAGTTTTGGATACTCTCTTGATAAAAAAAACCAGATTGTAAAAAAATAAACTGTTTTAAACACTCAAAAATAATGCAACACATAATAAACAATTATTATCTTAGGACAGGCGTAAAATAATATGTACAGAAGTAAGGTTCTGCCTCATACAAACCACAATATGAGTAAATGTTAAAATATACTCAGACAACAACCTTAAAATTAAATATTTAATTAATTGTACAAAAGCATGACCCAAACATGGGTAGAGCAGTGGTGTCAATGGGGTATACATAATGTTTACAATGGTCGGCGAGCCAAGAACCATTTAGAACCCAGTTTCAAAAATAGCAGACTTGTTCAAACCTGAGTCGGGTTCTAAATATACACGGACAGTCGAGTGAGACAATCCGCTGCACAGCTTCCTCTACTTCGCTGTTTGCTCTTGCCTCTTTGTTTATCACATCTTACCTCGCCAACTTAGAAAGTAGCCTACTATTTTTTTACTTTTATGTTAAATCCTGAGACAGGTTTTGAAATTTCAATAGAAAACATAGTTGACAAAAATGTAACAGCCAGGATCAGTTTTGAAATTTTTTCATAATTAATTGGAATGAAAAAATGGGCAAAAGAAATTAGTCCCTAATCGTATAGAGATCATATCTTTATATACTAATTTTATAGTCATACCACAAAGAAATCATTTAGACTGATACTAAAATAGTAACAATTATAAACATAATTTCTCAATATCTGTCAATTCACTCAAATGCATTAACCAAGAGACAAAGACAATATCCCATGAAAATTCTTTAGTAAAATATTCTCCTATCTATAAAATGTTGGTCAGTTGAAGCTGTCAGTGATGAGTGTTATTAGAGCTGTTATCTCATGCAGATGCACCTGGTTATCAGTTTGTTAGTTCCATGCAGGACTGCAGGAGGGGTGTCTCCTTTACTCACTGGAGCTAGGCAGGTCTACAGGCACATGGTTTATGATCTCAGGATCTATTCCATTATCCATCGAGTACTTGCGGCCATTCTGCTGAGGACGACTCAGACTGCTGTTTCTACTACTGTTGCGGCTGTTGTTGCGACTATTGCGATTGCTGCGACTTCGTCTGTTTTTGCTGCTTCGTGATTGTGATTGTCTTTCCATTGTCCCTTTTTAATTTCACACTTTTACTTTTCTTTGTTTCACACCTCTATCAATATGTACCGTTTGTCACTATTCCATTATGTCTACAGGTCCACTGATTCACATATTCTATCACAGATTTCTTTACCGACTAGAGTTGCTCATCGCTGTTATTTGTTGGGTAGCTAAATTCTTTAAAATAAATTTTTGATAAGTCTTTGAAGTTAGTTGATCAATTTCATTATATGTGGAAAAGCTAAGTAGCCTAAATAAAATAAATATAAATTATATTAACTTATTTTGTATATTATAGTGTGTAATAAGAAAATCTTTAATCCAAAAGCTTCAAAAATATTAACGTTACTTAGTGGATTTTACCTACTAATTAAATCTAATCCAAATATATCCCTCACGACTTTAAACCCTCTAATCAACAGTTGATCGTGTAGGCAGAACTGATTTAGACAAACAGTATGATGGGATTACACAACGTAACTCCAATTTAAAAAAAACTTAAGATCATAATTGTTCTTATTAGTAAAAAAAAATGAAAAAGAAAAGTATATTAGAGTGATTTAAGATTTAAAAAAATATATGTATAATTAAACTGTAGGCTAAACAACTTTGAAAATGTTTAGAAATCCGTACAACCAATAATGTAGCAAATAATCAATTTGATAATGTATACAAAAACTAGCTCTTACATTTCTTATGACTGTATAAAGAAGACGGAATCGCGAATGAAAAACAACTTGCCCTTGGAAACAGATGGTTATCCAATAGCGACCGAAATTCCACAACAGGGTCACACACTTTCCACCAATCAGACTTTAGGAACACACACGGACTAATAAAAAAAGTACAAAAATGAGATCATGTTTGATAAGAAGCGCGTTGTATTGAAATGGTTCACGACAAATTTGGACGTAAGCGCCGAGGTGGGGACAGTCAGCGCCCCATGCGAGGATTTCTCCAACTAAGATCAGCTATTTTGGTCCGTCCCGTCATCATAATGGACCGGCAACAACAAATAAACAGGATCGCGCGAGTGTAAGACATCTATTGTAAGTGGGTCATAAAAACTTAAACACAATTATCAACATAAACGGCATTGATAGCACGTAGTTAATAAATTAACAGTACCAATTCTCAACCAATTTAGGTTTGTCCAAAGCGAAATTTCAAGTTTGAATATTGTATAAGTAGTATTCTTAAATGGGTTTGCCAGCTCAAATAAACAAATTGTTAATTGAATGGTAAAATCGTGTAGGCCCAAAAGGAGTAGGGAATTTTTATTTCGCTGATGTGGCTGCACTGGCGCTGGTGACGTCACACCGGCTCAGCTGGGCAGCTGCAGCTGGTCGGTGGCCTCATTCATTTCGTTAATCCACATCCACATTTTGCTTGCGTCTTTTGAACCTTTCCTTATTTTGTTTAAAAAATAAATTTGTACCAGAAAGGGTAAACCATTATGACCGTCGGGTATTGCATTTGCACTGAGAGGGTTCAGCAAATAAATATGAAAAAATAATATAAAAGCTAACAGAAAATGTAAGAAAAGTCAGTCTGAGATGATTTACCCTACGAATTATCACAGTATGTGAGATGGTAAGACTTAAACCCGGGACTGATAAAGAATATTTGATTACCACGAGACACAGTTGATTCTAACATGTTTATCAGTGCTGCAAGGAATGCACGAGAATGGTAAGATATGAAACTCACTGACGAAAAACTGTTGGGTCGGGCGCAGGCCGAAAGCCACGAATGTTTATCTCTATAAGCTGGGGGGACGTAAGCCACGGCAATTAGGGAGGGTTTGAGTAGTTATAATCCTGGGGACGAAAGCCACGACGGCAGGCCAGGTAGTTGGGAGGGGCGAGGGAGAAACGGGAATCTCTCACATGAACATGGCAATTATAATAATGCAGTAATGGACGCAAATATTTTGCCAAAGCTGTTTGATGATGTCTCAATGAATTTTCAAATACAGTTGTAAGAGCTAAAAATATTGAAGGAGCAGACAAATGAAACCCTAATAACATATTCCATATATATTCTAATAACTTATTGTAAATAAGTTGCTATTTAGAAAGTGAGTAAATCATTTCTTCTATTAAGATTGTGTTTACAATACATTATACCATCGATATATTTCTAGCTACTGTCAACAATGCAACATTAGGCTAAACCTTTGCCTGATTAATTTACAACTGTTTGCAACAACTTATTTTTACTCCCTATGGAATAAAAATGTTACTTTGGACCCGCAACGCATGAGGTATAAATATGAATGTTTTGCTTTATTATGACGAAAACCCCTTATTGTATTGAATATTAAGAAAGATAATATGATTATTTAACGATAAAAGTTCAACTTAAAACTTAAGTTATACAAGGTTTTACGTCGGCACGGAAGTCCAATACATGTTTAGTTTTGTATGTTGTAATGTTGAATGCAATAAGTGATGTGGTATATCTTCTATCACTATTTTTTGTTAAACAATAACTGTGAATATTATTGATATTTAATTTTAAAAATCAAAACAATTACATTTATTCATAAGTATTAGGTAACTAAAAAACGTCGTCCATATTTTTGCGTGGTTGATTGTCACATCCTACACAACAATTATGTTGCTATATTGCTTACTATGTATCTCTATGGCATAGTATTATACAAATGTGCACCACACTAATCATTTCTAAATATAAAAGCAGATTTGTTAAAATTCTGATCAGAAATAAAGTTAAGTTTTGGAAAATTACATTGTTAGTGAAGAAGGCAAATTCAGTACAGTAGCAGCCGTTCTTATGCATCTGCATACACGATGTGGTGAATGTGGTTAACATAGTTTAGGTTGAACTATAAATGCATGCATTACTTTTACGTTAAAGAACCAGTGCGTGTAATATTTTTACAGGGGTAGGTAATATAATAGCGTAGGGTTGTTGACACCCGATTTCCGGCATGGAGGGAAGTATCTTGGAATTAGTCATTAGAATGCTGCGTCACCCTTACATTTCGGCATATTTAGGATTTCGCATAAGTTTTGCTTAAACATTCAAAGCGTGAAGGCCATGGAAGATTGTGCGGAGTTGGTTTTTAGTAATAAGGGCAAAGAGTCCTTTGATGTTTAATAACTTTAAATTCAATTTGCAATCGGTGTTAGTGTGTGGAAGAAAGAAGTGGTTTTGCGAAAGGAAAAGGCGTGGCGGCTGTAAAGCGAAATTCTTCACCTAGAGTAAAATCTTATAATTATTTATCTTTATCTATAAACCTAATTGATCAAGATAAGTGTGAAACGTTAGTTAGCAAATTAATTTATAGCTATTGAAGACTTCATTTAAATTATTATTTTGGTTTCAACTGTATCAGTATGTTTTAGAACTGACATTTGTCATATGAGCAAAAAACCGTAATCCTTAATAAGAGACATTCTCATCTAAAAAGTAAAATGTTGTTTGTTATGTGATAAATAATACATTATTTATCCTAGTAAGATAGTAAAAATCGGCTAGTCAACGGCTCGGACAAATTCATACAGTTTAAAATTTATTTTCATCATACTGTCCAGAAAATTGACATTTTTAGTACTCTAAATCGTCCGCAAAACCATCGTTTTCGGATAACTTCAAAAATAGGGAACAGAAAAAAACCTATGATAAACTTTCCAGTTTGCTAACCTCAAAATGTGTATGGTGCATAATAAATTGTATTAGTACATTATGAAAAGGCTACTAATCACA